TAAATAAGAAAGTAATGAAAGAAAAGAGAAAGAGAAAAGAAAAGAAAAGAAAAGAAAAGAAAAGAAAAGAAAAGAAAAGAAAAGAAAAAACGATATAAAGGAGTGGCTTCTAATCTTCTTTCCAGCAGTTATAAATGCATTTATATTTTATCCTCTCTCTATATAGTTATATCATGGCTCCCTTCTTTCCATATTCTACCCTTTCTAATCATCACACCCATAAATCACAGGTTCATTTTTTCCTGTTTTCAGCAAAAATTCCGTGAAGGGTTTCCAATCACTAACACACAGAGTTATTGTCATTTCCCTCGTCAAACAAGTCAATTTTGCTATCTCTACAAATTCTGTCATCTTCACCAACCATTCCTCCATTGTGGGTATTTCAGAGTCTTTCCATCTTTGTGCCTATAATAATCTCTGTAGGAACATTGTCTTGAGTCTCCTTCCATGTAAGCCTCTCTGGACACTTCAGTTAGCTTCAGAAAGCATGCTATGGATCTCCAAAATCTCTTCATTAACTTACTCTTGTAAGTGCTCATGCCAGAATTATATTAGTGCTTCAGAATGGCTCTTCTGTAGGGGTAGCCATAGGGTATGGTCAAAAATGTCAAGATGGTAAGCATGGTGGTGCAATTGAAGCTCTGCCTGTTTTTGACAGCGACACCCATAAAAAACATGCAGAGTTTCAATTGTACCATCATGGCCACCATTTTGCTTATTTTGACCACACTCTACAGAGACCCCTGCTTTTGTGGGAGACTCACCTTGGTCACTTTAAGATGTGTGGACTTCAACTCCTAGCATGCTGGGTGGGGAAATCTGGGAGTTGAAGTCCACACATCTTAAAGTGGCCAAAGTTCAGAAACATTGAGTTAGAGCACTGTTTCTCAATCTTGGCAGCTTGAAGATGTGTGGACTTCAACTCCCAGAATTTCCTAGCCAGCATGCTGGGAGTTGAAGTCCACACATCTTTAAACTGCCAAGGTTGAGAAACACTGAGCTAGAGCGTTGTAGGAAGTATACAAATCAGTCTGAATGCATGTGGGAACATGTCATCAGTTTGATCAAACTGATCTTTGGCAATTCGACACCCCCATGGTGACAGCTATCCTGTGAATGGAAAAGTCTTTGCCATAGTATCCGTGTTATAATCACACTCCTGAAATACACAAAAAAGGTCAAATGTGCCTACCAGCCCAAAACATTTGGAGACCCTCATGCTACATTAGAGTTTTGTCCCTTAAAAGGGGGATCAAGATTAGCTGCAATCTGCAAGATGTTTCAAGCTGAGAAAGGGGTGGGATTGATGATAAAGCTGCAGAGCCACCACTGAGGAGATCTTGAGACCTCTTGCTAGGAAGTAAGATCCATTCTCAAATAAGTAAGCATAGTATTTTATCTTTATCTTTCCTAGACTGCAATCTGATTCTTGCTTAATGAGAAACCATTTGAACCTTATTGAACTCAGCAAAGTTTGACCCTATAGAATCAACTGTAGGAAGCAAGCCTATGAATTCAGGTTTGATTCAGGAATTAACTATAGAATTCCCAAGACAAGTACTCCAAACATACGTTATCCTTTCATGTTAAACCACACAGATCTTTGGAATCCTATTCTCTTAGAATTCTCTCTGGTTGGCACTGTGAAAGATGCTGAGCTAAACCCAACAGAAACAGCCCCTTTCAATCCTGCTTGGAAAGCTCCTATTAAGATCAAGAAATTGCCTCATCTGGGTATTTTCTGAGCCTCTTTAGTCAGCAGGACTCATTCTCATAAGCCACAATGCAAAACTCAACTTTGGCTGGAAGGAGGTCCTACTGAATTTGGTGGTTCTAAATAAATTCAAGCAGCATTCCCTGAAAGAATGGACTTAACTTATCCTGGTTCATTCCACAAACATTTAAGCAAGAGTATCTGGAATGATGTTGAGGCTAGATCACATTCTTTTCATTATGAATATCAAATAACTTTTTTAGTGTTCAACCTTCACTGTGAACACATTTGCACTGTTTTGATTCTTTCTCTGCAACTTTCTCCTTCTTTTTCACCCTCACTGCCCTTGGCTGCTTCTGCCCTCACTGCCACTTAATCCAATCACCTGTGGTGACTTGTGCAATTTTTGACAATGATGTCACAGATGCCCATGAACCAGATCACATGGGGTGCCACAGTCAATCACATTAAGTGCAAAGTGACCAACTGAGGTTGAAGACAGCAAAGGCAGAGTAAGATGTAGGAACCAAAGGGAAACTATGATTAGATTTATAAATACTGTAGGGCTATGCATCACTCCAGAGTCAATCTCAAAGTGCTTCAGAGGCCATGGAAGCACAAACAGTGGTCTGTCACAGTTAAAATAGCCCCACAGTGCACAATCTCTGGAAAAGACACAAACCCTTTAAGGCAGTGCTTCCCAAACTTTTTCCTTCATTACCCAAAACTGTCACAAGTCTCTTCCTTCAGCACCATCATAACTTTGAATGGTCACTGAATGAATGGTTGTAACTTGAGGACCACCTATATTATAAAAACAGTATCAGTGAATGACCTTTAATTCATTTCAACAAATTACCACTGGTAATTTCATCGATTTTTGTCTTAATAGGAATATTGTGGGAAATTTTCGAATATATTTTAGTACATGTGGCCATCTTTAAGTCAATTTCTCTGTCCCTGTTGTGATTGGGTAATGGGTTTGTGTGTCGTTACCCAAAGGAAAACCACTTTTATCCAATTTTGGGTAATTTACTCAGGTTTGGGAAGCGCTGTTTTAATGAGTTGCAGACAAGTACTATCTTTGCACTTTGAAGTGCCTGAAGTGTTGCATGACTGTGGTCCTAAACTTCATTAAAACAACCTGAATTCTTGGCAATATTTAAATAATGAGTTTCTTCTGAATTCCAGACAGATGCAATTAATTTAAACTTCTGCTTTAAATACTGTCTATATTTGACTGTATTAAATGTGTTCATTCTGAATATACAGTCTAGGCCTAACTGAAAGTCAGTTAGTTGAAAGCCTAAAATCTGTTTCTCCAAGTTCTCACACAGTAGTGCCAGCCCAAAATATTTTGTGATAATATAGTTTTTGGCTTCCCTTGTGCTAAAAAACCAACAAACCATGAAGCTCAATGAAGCTCAGTCTTACATATATTTATCCAGAAGTGAATCCTACTGGATCCAGCTTTTACATAAACATACACAGGGTGGCTAGATTTGCATATTTGATTAGGCCATTTCTCATAACCAGGGTTTACTGAATAAGCCACAGTGGCTTGTTTGTATAATCTGCCTAAACAAAAATCGAACAAATGCCTGGGGTCAATAGGCTGAAACATATCTCTATACTGTAGTTTCCCTCAACCTCCAGATATACTGGAATTCCAATTTCTGGAATTCCAAGCCAGCAAGGTTAACAGCAATGTTGATCGAAAGTGCTAGCAATTGCAATCCTAACACATCAGGAGGACACTGAAGTAAGGGAGATGGTTTTAAAAGGTAGACTTCCTGCCTTCATAGATGAATAGATCTTAACTAGATCCACTTACAGTGTACCATAATAAAAATGCAAAAAGAAAGATGCTCATACTTTATGAGCAAGACTGTTGTCAATACACTTGGCATTAAACTCACCCTGGGTTTTCATAATATGCTAGACCAGATTAAAATGGGCTGAATAGCTTCTGATTCAATGTGTTGAGGGATCCCAGCTGCTGCTTCAGCAAGTTGTTTGGGCACAGCAGCTTACATAGATGCAATTTGCTTGGAATACATTAAACCCTAGTTTAGGGTTCAGCCTGTTGTATGAGCCTACCCAGCCTCTGAATGCCAGTCACAGACTTCCAACTTGTCTATTGGAACCACACAATTCAAGCCTCTTTGTGATTTGTCTCCCCTTGCAATGAGTAATTGTGATGAATCTATTTCCGTGTCTCTTGATGATGCTGCCATCACTGACGCTTTTAAATGATGGCCTTTAATAAATATTAATCACTGGCTAGGTTTCCGTAGAACAGGCTGTTTGTCGGCTTCCTTTCTGAGGCTGGTAGCAACCTATATCTTATGCAAGACCCAAACAGCTGCTGTCTTCTCCCCAAGGAATTTGTAAACCTTATTCTCCTGTCAGATTTATTTACTGTCCTCCTTGCTACTGGATGTCTGTCTTGGACAGATTCAGAAGAATACCCCAAACAAACTTCCACAAGAAACTTCAGACAACAGCCCCTTGGATCTTGGTTCTGTTCTGCATTCACAAATTCTGACCTGGCTACTACGTAAGATGACTTGGTGCAGCATCAAAATCACGTTTCCGCAGACAGGCATTTTCTGGTTGGGGTGATATATCTAGAGAGCCCCAGGTTGGGGGAAGATTGATTTGGAGTTCAGACTGTGTTCCGATAACACACTTAACTTGATTCCTGAATTTGGCCCATTTTCTGGGTTTGCAAAATATTCCGAACTCTCTCTGAATCTGCCTTCCTCTGTTCAGTTGCATCTGACCTTCAGCCACTTCATAGATTAGCTTTCTCCATTCTTTCCAGCGTTTTACAGTATCATTGAATGTTTCTAGGTCTAAAACTCTTGTTTGATGGCATCAATCCAGGGTGTTCTTTGTTGGCCTTGTTTTCTAGTACCTCCAGCCATTCCTAGCATCACAGATATTTCTAAGGAACTGGATCACATGACGTGACCAAAGTAAGACATGACACAACATGACCACTCCTGGGCAGGAGGCATATTGAAAGGTGAAGGGGTGCCCTCAACCTCCTCCCTGCGAAAGGCTGCCATACCAGTTGAAACAGGCAACAGGTAACTTGGATTGGGAACATGACCAACATGGGATGGAATCACCTACCACATTAAGCCGTGAAGAAAAACTAATTGTTAAAAGTAACAAACTTCAGTCTGTGGTGTAAAAGCGGCCTTTAGCTTTATAACTGACAGGCTTAGATGGGTTATGTAAGCAAAGCCTTAGATATGGATGGCAGGGATTCACTTCACATCCTTTGAATCCTCAGTGTAAGCATACACAGTAGAAATTCCTCTTCCCACCCATCCCCTTGAAGTCCTCCTTGCCATGGCATCGGTTCCATGACCACACGTAGCCCATAAAAGCCTTGGACATAGTCACCAGAATGGTTCCAAAAGTCATTACTGAGTGAATCATGTTAGATACTGACCAAGCAGGAAAATTATTAACAATATGGGGAAGTATCCTTACTAACTGCATTTAATTAATGCAACCTATCTTTAATTACATTTAGGTTTAAATGACACTAAATCAAATTCAGATTTTGTCCTGCTTTGTCTTGGCTCTATCTACTTTGGGGGGACTGTGGCCCTGGGCAGGAGGCATACTGGAAGGTGAAGGGGTGCCCTCAATCCGCTCCCTGCAAAAGGCTACCATACCAATTGAAGCAGGCAACAGGTAACTTGCATTGGGAACAGGCAGGATGAGACCTGCAGACCAGTGTGGTGGATTAGTTCAGAATGCATGAGTGCGGTGATCTGAGTTCAAATCTCTGTTCAGCCATAAAGCTTACTACATGGCCTTGAGCAAGTGGTTATCATTCAGCCAATCTATATCCCAGGATCATCATGAGGATCCTCTTTTTAAGATCATCAGACAGCATCATTACAGCCTGCAGTTGCTGCTATGCTTCAGTTCCTAGCAATCCCAATCCCCATGGCCAATGGGAATCAAAGTTCAGCAACATCCTCAAGGGCCATAGATCTCTAGTCTGTATACCACTGCCTATACACCATGTGATTCCCATATTTATAACCTATAAGGGAGGATGTTCTCTATATTAGGCATACCATATCTGGGCCACAAAAAAATCAGGTAGCCACCAGATGGTAGGAAAGAGATACATAAAACTCATTTTTTGTGACCATCTAACGGCTGTCCAGATATTTGCAGCCCAGCTATGATGTACCCCCTCTGCATGTCATTCCAGTTGCCTTTTCAGAATAGAAGCAAATGCACGAAAAGGAAGTCTCTTGTATCTATGCAAGACTTTAAATATGTAGAACAAAATAAGCCTTGGGTCCACCTAGGCTAGTAATGACCGCTCTGATTGGCAGAAGCTCTTCACACCTTCTGACCAGACACTTTCTCATAATGTCCACCCCAAATTCTTACTGGGGATTGAAACGTGCACATAAAATATGTATTTTAGGCCAGCCCTGATTACGGTTTTGAGAGACAACTTGTGATATAGCTTCCTTAGGGACCAGTAGCTACAAGAATCATTTTTCTGATCCTCACCTCTTCTTGGCAATTTATTCAGAAGCTGGCCTGAGGCAAGCCAATGGTTTCTCAGTGATCTGGTTCACCCAATGAGCTAAGCCACAAACTGGGTTCACACACACATTAAGCCTAAATAAGATTCACTTGTTTCTGGCTTAGTATCTGGTGTGTACCTGATGTGATCAGGAAATCATGGTGGGCACCTTATGCAAATCCAGCCAATGGGATATATCCAAACGATGGCTTCTTTGTTTTATGTGAATCCAGTCATAATGTGCTTTATTTAGCTCAGCTTAGTCAGTGATATGAATCAAGTCACCGTGGTTTATAGATCAGGGCAGTTTGGGAACCCAGCCCTTCTGACTCAATGAATTAAGAAAGGCTGGTTTGGATATGAGATAATGACTTACAGAATCATATAAATAGGTGGGGTTCGCCCATTTCACTATCCCATAATATTTCTTTGGTTTGGGCCTTGAACTCAGCTGTTGTAGTTTGTAAACTATGGCTTATAATGTAGGAGCTGAGCCATATGTGGTTTCCCTAATAAACCTGCCCCTCTCCCACTGAGCTTCTCTTCTCCAGGCTAAATATAATTTATTCCAAATGTTCCTCAAAGGACTTGAGGAACATTCTCAGCCCCTTTAGGGTCTTCCTTTTCCAGCACCTTTTAGGATGGTGAAGCCTGGGGACAAAATGTTTATTTCAGCCCTTGTTCCTTACTACCCAACCTGCAAGTCAATGATTTTTTTTTCTCTTATTGTTTCCTATCTTTTGAAATAAATGGCCCAGGAAGTGGGAGTTTCTAGGAAAACCAGAAAGTATGAAAATGCATTTAGGATTCTCTTGTAACGAATGAGGTTAAGTATTAATCCATGTGATTATTTCAAATGCTGAACCCTCCATTGGATGGGGGTTCTCTGTGTGTATGGAGCAAACACAACTACTCCTATTGCCCAACCCCACCACTGGATATGTTCCAGTTTGTTCCCATTTTTTCTTAATATTCACACAACACACTAACCTGGGTGTAGCAATATCTGTGAGGTTGGGAGTCAGAACTCAGCTTCCCAACCACCTGGGGATCTGTAGGAGACCATCCAGTGATGGTTTGATATCACTAGAAGGGCCCCAGCAATTATTTTTAGATCAGTAGGAAAGGGAGCAGTAAGTCTCTGGAAAGCAAAGGCCCCCCAACTCCAACCTTAATCCTGCCCCCCAAACAGTCTGAAATCATGTTGGCATATTCAGCCATTTTGTGGCTGAATTTTGATAGTGTAATCTGATCACATTACCCCAGATGTGGCAAAGTGACCAGTGAAGTCTTACCATTTCAGCTGGCTTTAGTACCTATGCACTCAGCACTCACTTACTTCAGTTGTCTAAGAACCAAAGCTCCGCTACACCTCAAACACGTATTTCTTAATGTGGGTGAAACTGCAGCATATGCATAACTGGGAATTTTTGACTACATATTCTGCAAGGCTGGGAACGTGCCTTCTTTGTCTTGCCACACGTACAGGTTTTATTGCAGAAGGCAATGAGTAGCTGGGTACTGTTGTAGTCCGCTTTCATACACTGATTATATAAATGATGCGCGTTTCTTGATGAAGCTAATTAAGGACTCCACGCAGCAGGAAGCTCCTTGTTCAAGTCCCACGCTGAGATTTATGGGATCAGCACATCATGCACATCCTTCTCTCAAAAGCACCGAGGGAAGAGAAGGTGTCGGATTTATGAGGAGATCCACTAATCTTTACTAGAGCCAGTGTTAGCAATGCAATGGTGAGAGTAGGAACAAGGAACCTGGTGACCTCTTCATACTTGAGACCTTAATTCCCATCACTCTCAGGTAGCATGAAATTGACAAAGGATTGTTCAAAACATCTGGAGGGCACTAGGTTGAATACAGCTGGATTAGAGTATGGGATCTGGATTGGAGAGGCACAGATTTTAAATCACACATGGTCACACAGTTTATTGAAAAGCTGCAAGCCAGCAATGTTCTCCCAGTGTAATCACCCTCAGATGGCTATGGTGAAGATAACATGGCTGGGAGCAGAATGAATTATGTATTGCATGTTGAGTGTAGTTGGGATAGAAATACAATAAATAAAATACATTTCAAATTTGTTTTTTTAACTGTGTGACTTCCTTGATCACATCATCCACAAAAGCACTGGTTTGCCTAACCATGATTTATTAAGTAAAACACAATTGGCTAAAACCAAGCATTATGTTTTTCAAATCATAATGGCACTTTGGCTTAGTGTGTTGTATGAACCTACGCTATGCCTTCTTCTTTTGTTTTAAACCAAAGATAGTTAAGTTTTTGGCAACCAGGTGCCACCTGCAACATTTATTAGTGGCAAGGAGCACCCTGTATAAGTTGGTGATGCTGGGATTTTCAAGCCCTCCTTGATCATCCAGCAAGACTGAGATAGGCTGCCTAAGGTGACTGGCACCCTTTCTCCTGAGCTTTTCCTGCTTTGTGGCTTCTATCTCATTTTGATCTTCCCTTTTTCAGTTAATTACAGTGTGTGTAATTAAGATACCTTAATTGGCTTCTCTTTGATTAGTCTCATAGCTGGAAATCCTTCCGTATGCTTTCAGATGTCACATGTCCCCGGAAGCTGGCTTCTTTGATGTCACCACCATTCAAGCATCTGTGATTTAAACAGCCACATGAGTTCAGGCTAATCATACATGCATGTGTCATAATCTCCACTCTCCCCATACTGTTGGAGGTTGCTTACAGCTCTGCTTTGGAAACCTTTGAGAGAGGAGAGTACTACTGCGAGAACAGTGGAGGAGTTATGGATCCTGCCCTGGCTTGCACATCCTTGGTACACTGTGGAAGTGACTGCTGAGACTATGCTCCAGAGGCCAAGAACTGAAGAAGAGGAATCAGATCACTGTGATTAATTAACCTCATGCATTTTGCTAAGGAGAAGAGGAGCAAGCAGGGTACATAAAGGTCTCTTAATTGCTAGGTCAAGCAATCCACCAGAGGGTACTGTAGAAGAAACACATGTAAACAGTTTCAACATACCTGTTTACCTGTCCATCTTTTTTCTCTTCTCTCTGCTCAGTTCACTCTATCTAAATAGAGAAACAGCTCAGGAGGAAATGAAAGTTTCAGAAGATAACCAGAATGGTTCCTGAGTGGCTACATCTTTCCAGGCTAAGTTCATTCAACCCTTAGCATTGGTGTCATTTTGCTTCAGCATGTTGTGTAAACCTAGCCATTTTGCCGAGTACACTGACTCATAATCTAACCAAATTGTCTGGATCCATTCTACTACATGCCAAGTCACAAAACCAACCCCACCAAGATTAAAACTGACCAAGTTTAGCATGTAGAGCAAGGGCACTCGTAAGATTTCTAACCAATCTAGTCAAACATAGCCACTAAGTCATTGCTTGCTGAACCTTGGTTTATTAAATAAAATGTGGCTTATAGAATGCAGTTTGTTCAGTTAAGCATGCTGTGTTTTTGACTTTGCAGATCACGGTTTATGGCTTAGTGTGTTATATGAATCCTTCTATGGCTATTCTTCCATGGGAAAAAGGAAAGAGGCACTGGGATTCCAACTGGAATGAAATGACAAGCATACTTTCCGCAACTGCTGAAGCTCATTATTCCAAATTAAACTTGTATTCGACGTAAAGAATGAAAAGATCAGTTGGGTTGGGTACACACAACGTACTAAATCAAAATGTGGATTGCTTATTTTTAGATTAATGTTTTGCATGAATCTAGCCGGTATGACCAAGGTTCATGACTAACTGCAGCCTTCTCCAAACTGAATGCCGTCAAACTGAATATGTGAACTGTCGATTGCAGATTCTCAATAGTAATTGTGCTGGCTTGTGGAATTCCAGATGTTGAATTCCAGATATCCAGAAGGCATCCAGTTTGGGGACAGCTGCTTAGTATGACACACAGCTATTGTAAATTATTCAATAAACTACAATTAAGCAAACCATAACTTGGCATGTTATGTGAACATGGTGGCCTATATTCCCACCCATAATTTGTGGTGGGGAAGAGAATATCAGGTGGGTTCATGTGAAAATTGGCATGGAAACTTCTTTGTTGAGACCCCAATTTGCTTCTAGTGAGGGATAATCCAGAGAGCTTCCCATCTCTCTTGCCTGATTCTGGAAGGTGATGTTCTCCAATGGCTGTGTTCATATGACCTGCTGGATTTGTACAGCTAACTGCAAAAATACCAACCCAGGTTGAAGAAACTAAGAGTTACATATGATGCAAATGCAACTACTAGATTTCTAATTCACCTGATTAAGCATATTATGTGAACCTAACTCATGAATGGGTGTTTTTAGGGTAGGTAGATTTTGAATGAAAGGACAAAGAGGCAAGTTGGTTGAAGGCTACCCACCTTAGAATACAGCTGCTAATTTTGGGAAACCTGACCCAGGATTCCTAGTTGCACTTGAGCTGTAGAAATCTGCTCCCCAAAGGGTCTTGCTGTATATTTAATTATAAAGCAAGAACAGCAAAGGCACCATCAGTCCAAATTAGCCTCACATCCAAAAGAAACAATGCTCTGTAATTTTACCTTTCCTTTTCCATTTGGGGAAATTAGGAACATATTACAGAAAAGCTCAGGTTTGTACTAAGCCATGGTTGTTTCTGCCATAGTTTGCTAGATAAAACTTAAAGCATGCTTGGAATACCCTAATGGCAAGATTCACAAGACATGCAAAGCCAAAACCAAATGGCATTATGGCTTAGCACTGTCTAGTCACCAGGAGCAACTTTCCACTCCAGGGAGGTTTTCAATCTTAGTTTCGCACTGGGTGCGAATACCGATAAAGCTAGCTAGATGAACAGCTAGAGTTGCGCACTTTGGCATTGCCAGAAAAGAGGAAATGCATATCAGGGGGCAAAGAAGAGGATAAAAGGAGAAAGAGACCAGTGTAAAATTTGTGCATGCTAATTTATACAGACAGATCCAGATTTAAAATTAGAAAGATGCTGTCATCCTAAAGGGGAAATCTGTGCCAGGAAAGCTGTGTACCTACTTTGCCTGTAATCCAGGCATTCATTGTGAGTGCACAACACCAAAGCCAGTGCTGTTCTTCCTGAGGGATATTCTTCTTTAAAGGGGACACGGACTGGACAGCTTTTCAGAGAGAGCGCTGTTCTCTGTGAAGTAGGACACGTAGGTATCCTAAAATAGAAGAAACATACAAAGAGAAATGTAAACCAGTATGAAGGGCTTCAAAATTACGCAGAGAGCAACTGTGGTAAACAGCAAGCACTGAAATGCAACACATCATTACGACAACACTGGAAACCACAGTTTTAAAAAAGGAACTTCCTGGACTGCTGGCTATTTACAGTCAAGGAACAAATGATCAAGGTTTCACTATGTTCTTTTACAAACACATCACTATAAAAACCTGCCTACACAAGTTTTTCTGCAGAATTAGCAAAGCACTGTGTATCCTATTCACACCCCTGCAGTGCTAAGCAATTAACTACGGCAGACATTTCTCTGTTCTTTTTCAATTTTTTTATTCAATTATTTTCAAGCCTACGAGAGTCTGCTTTTTTCACACTGCAGTGAAGGTGATTCTTGAGTGTCACTCTTGGATTGCAACTTCATCTGTATCATAACACCTACTGTACCAAGCCACTGCACAAAGAACTCGTAATCTCCACAAAAGAGTTTAATAAAACCAACGCAGAGTCCTAAGGAAAGCTAAAATGCATCCAAATCTCTTTATCTTCATTATAAAGTCAAATAGCATTTTATATCAAAGATGGGACATCCAAATGTTGAACCAAGTTTTAGGGAGTTGTATTTCTCAATCACTGTTACACCTCAACAGCTAATTAGTCAAACTGTTACCTATTCTCTGAAGATTCCTTTCAATCTCCACAACAAAAACGTATTGTCTCTTGTTCTCACCCACCAAACTTCAGTCAACATGGAAGACCCAAAGTAGGACATGTGATGATCATCTTCCATTAATTACACTAACAAACATATGTGATTTGGTGAGCAAGTGGAGAGCAGCACGCTTTGTAATCACTTTACATTATGTCAGTAATGCTAAGCGTTCTCAAAGCTGCTATTGTGAAAAACGAGATTGCCCACTTAGAGTAAGAGGGTTGGAAGAGATGTCAAATTTATCTAGGCAGCACAGCTCTTGGCACACATACACCCCCTGTCATACCTTTTTGTGATTTTCAGTTGTCATTTTGCATAGTTCCAAACAGCCTTAATTGGAGGGTCCTCTCATTCAAATGCTTTCCAGTATTGTGAATAAAGACAGAGCCACTGCACTGTTATCAACCCTGGATGTGTGTTTGTGCCTGAACCTGGGTCATTTCCTCCCAATCAAAAGACAATTCCAGATTAGTGACTCATTTCCCAAACACATTGGAGGGTAGAAGAGGACAAACATTGACATATTGAACACATTCCTCCTAAAATTTCTAATGTCCAAACCTATATAGTGAGAATAGTGCCAGCTGTGTTCAAAATGGGGGATTCAGTTTTGAGAATCCTGGGGTTTGCAAAAGTACACATTCTTTAGGACAAAAAATGATAAGGAGGGATGACTCCAGAGCACAAAACTGAGGTCGTGCCCAGTCCACAGAATGTTAACTCTCTGATGGAGGAAAGAAAATGGAATACGAGAGAATGGAGGATCCAGAAATAAACTTGTTAAACAAATTTACAGACTGCCTCAATCACAATCTGCAACTCTAAGCAGTTTATAATTTTTAAAATATACAAGACACCAAAATGAAAATCAAAAATTATATAACCCACAAAGTCCATTACAAAATTACACTGGCTTACCAAAGGAGCAGGATCACACCTCACCCTGGCCCTGCTGAAGAAGCCAGGTTTTCAACCCAGCTTTTCTTATTGCAATATTTCATTGCAATCCCACTTACAGGCACATGGAAAGTAAACCTTCTTAGCTCTGTGTTGTTAGAATAAAGGTCAAGATGCCCTCAGTTTTTATCAGTGTACCTCCTACTATCAGATCATTTTCTATATAAGGGTGCGTGTCCCCCAAAACCATGGCATTGAAATGGGCAGAACTGAGTGCCCATTTTCAGTAGAAAGAAAACACTTGATGCTCGTATAAAACTCTATTCCCACAAAGTGAACATCCAACAGGGAAAAACAGGCTCAAAATCCCATTTCCTCCAGTGTAGTCATTATATCACTGCCCAGTTCTGTGCAACCTATGGCTGCCAAAAGAAAAATACAGCAGCTGGTCTCCAAAAATTGTCCATTCCTTGTCTAGAAATTGCTGGCACCACAATGAGGTCTTGAATTCACATTTACATTCCAAATGACAAATGCAGCATCATGGATAACAGTCGTTTGGTCTGTGGAATCCATAGAATGCTGAGTACCAAAGATAAGAGGATCCTTTGTAACCTTGAAGGCAACACCAGAGTACAACTCTTAGCTCTTAAGTTCATTGTCACTTACTGTATATTGGTTGCTGTGCTAAGTAAATGCATAGACAACCCAAGTGGTCTAACTCTGCCTCAGAGGGACTGGTTCATGCAACATGCTAAATCAAAACCAATCAAACTATATGGTGACTTAGGTAGAAGAAAACAAGCAACACTTTTTTTTTCATTTTTCAAGGGCCACTGAGGCCTGACAAGTGACATGATAAAATCATAGAAGAGAGTAACGTTTTCACACAGTTCTTGGGTTTTCAGATCTTTGACAGGTTGTAATTCTTGTACTTTGTCTTTTTGGAAGGACCTAAAACCAGGAAAAATCATGCAAATGAAAATTGGCAGTTTTGCCATCAAATCTTGGCAGTCCAATGTGAAAATGCTCTAGGAACTTCACAGATGAGGCTGTGACGGTGTGTTGTCCAGCTTTTGAGTATTTCTCTGAGGCATGGACTTGGAGCTTTCCGGTCTTCAGAAATGTGAGGCCCACTCACTGGAGAATCACAAACACCTGATGCTGACAGTTCAACAAACAACAACAGTTCAACAACTCTGTTGAAATCAGCAGGCTGATTGCCATAATACCTTTGAATCCAAGGAAAAACTAGTCATGTAAGAGTAGAGCTGAACAATAAGATATTGTATATAAACAGTCTTGGCAAAGGCATTATGAAAACAGAAACACCACAGGGAAGTCAAAGGATGGAGGGGGGGAACTGCACCATGCTATTGCCAACTAAGTTGAGCTCATGCTTTTTTATCTATTACCATCCCAACATTTCACATTCAGCTAAGAAGTAATTCTAAAAGAAAGGAAGCTGAAGATATATGAAAGAGAGCAATGGCTCTTAGAAAATCTGGATATACACACATGCTTTTATGCAGCACCCAAAATCACAATGTGGATTGTTTGGTTTGACATAGCCTGCTCTATGAAACCAGTCATTGTGGGTTTGCAAACCACTGCTTATGGCTTAGAGGGTTGTGTCAACTCTACCAGCTGGGATTTATTTGATAAAGAATGGCCAAACAACCCATGACTTGGTGCTATATGTTATACAGCCCTCCCAATCAATGAATGATTAAAAAACTTTAAATCCTATAATGGCAATTGTATTGGCGCAACTGAACTCTTCATCCCACAGAGTCAATGGTCTCATAGTACTTACTCACTAAGTAGTTGGTCCCAATAATCTTTCAAATTTTCATTTAATTTTATATTTAAGGAATTTATAAGGCCATCCCACTCATAATTTCTATCTCTGGGCAGCATGTATCAATAAAAATCAAGAACAGTCAAAATTGAACAAAAAATAAAATAAAACCAATATAACAAGCCAAAGTCATACATGTACACATAATCAAGGCTACGCATGACAAGCTCTTATTCTCCAGCAGAATGGGCCCAAATATTGTCCTGGCCCAATGCCTGGGAGAAAAGCCAGGTCTTCATGGCTCCATGAAAGCCTAACAGGGTCAGGGCCACCCAAACCTCCGGTGGAGGGACTTGTTCCAAAGGGCAGGTGCAGCAACAGAAAAGGCACATCTCCTAGGTCTCATTACATAATACTGCTTAGGGGACCTAAGGGGGACTGTCCACCCTGTGCAATCTAATGGAATGGGCAGAAATAACCAGAGATAGGCAGTCTCACAAATAACCCATCCCTGTGCCATGCAGGGCTTTATACGTGATAAAACAGTACCTTGACTTGCACCTGGAAGTCTACCTGGAGCTAGGGCAGCTTGCAGAATAGTGGTGTTGCATAGGTGTTCTGATGCCTGCCCATTACTACCTATGCCGCTGGACCAGTTGCAGCTTCTGGATGGTCTTCAAGGGCAGCCTCATGTACAGCATACTGCAAAAACCAAATGAAAGATAACCAAGATGTGAGCGACTATGAGCAGGCTCTCCTGATCCAGAAATAGATGCAACTGGCACACAAGATGGAGCCATGTACTGCCTCCTACTCCTCAGGTAAGAGTGGCAAGTCCAGGTGGAGCTCCAGATTGTGCACAGACTCTAAGTGGGGGAGCGCAGCCTCACCCAGTATCAAAGATGGAAAATCTCCAGATCTGGATCATGGGGGGCCCAGCTGCTCAGGCGTGCTAGGGTTAAGTAGAACTATTCTTCCCCATCCAGGCCCACACAGCCTCCAGGCACTGGGAAAGCAGGCACCAAGGCGGCATTGCTTGGTCAGCCAGGGAAAAGATGTACAAATTAGTATCATCAGCATACTGATAGTATTTAATCCTATGCCAACAGTTGACCTCATCCACAGCTTCATGCAAATGTTAAACCTTAACTGAACGTTCAGTTCATTTTTTTTAAAGCTAACTCCTTAAATTAAAAACCCCTTAACATATATCAAGACAACAGCAATACACAATCAGTATGTCAGGTAAATTGTTCCATAAATAGCAAGCTTGCATACAACATTCAGACCAAGAGACACAAGGCAGCACAGATTTTAACAACCTTAAATCTACTGAAATTAACCAGCTCAACTATACCTAACTCTAGCCTGGATTGTGCCCAATACTAAAAACGATACAGAATTATTACTATTGTTTCAATTTATCAGAATTGATTTAAGAAACCACAGTTATATTGCAATGTTTCTCTTACAGGTTCACCAGCACAATTCTAGCTGTAACAATGAGCTGCAGCATTCAATCCCATTTCATTATCTATATCCATACATCTTTAATTTGCATATTTGGTTCTTTTTTTTTCTATTTACAATAATATGCTACATAAATTTTCAGGAAAATTATCCATGCCTCACCAATCTCCTGTCTCTCATCCAATCTGCTCAAAGACCAACCTGACTCTGAATCATGGCTTGTTTTCCATCCCATATTGCATTTTCAATACTTGATTGAACCAGGATTCAGCTCTGAATTCTGGAACTGTAAGACAAGAGTTCCTCTAAAGATACGTCCGGTACTGTCCCATTCTTTGCTCCGCTCCCTTCTTTTACATATAAATAAAACATTACACATACATAAAGATATATTAGATGGACATCTAACACCTCATCAGTTCCAGCACAGTGGACATGAGTCAAAATTGCCTCTCCTTTCAGGCAAGGCTATCTTTGATACTCTTCAAATCCAGCCTTCTCCCTCACAGCCAATCACAGGCAGGATTCCCTTTGACGTCCGAGCGGGCAAACGCCTTCTCCCATCATCTTTCCTTCATTCCAACTCCTCCTCCTCCCCGTCTTCCCCGCCCATCCCTAGTCTAATAACCAAAGGGGCGGGTCGCCGTCGTGATCGCCGCACCCCGCCCTCCTTTCGCACCCAATGGGATCACCTCGAACTTCTAAAGCTTGTCAAAGATTGGTTCTCCAACCCGAGCCAATCGCGTCGCCACGCCGTCGTACTATATAAACCAAAGCTGAGGCTGCGGTCCCTGCAGTGCTCAAGCGTTGCGGGCGCGGAGGAAGGAGGGGACGGGTGGAAGGAAGGGACTTGGCTCTTGCACGCGCCGAGGTTACGCCTTCCCTTTCCCCGCCCCCTCCGGTCCCTCAGACCGACTTCTTTTCTGGGGTGTTGTTTTTTTTCCCGCCCTTTCTTCTCCTTCTGGAATTTTCCTCTGCTTTTTGGGTAAACCGGCTTGGTTTCCTCAGCGACTCAGCCCGTTTTTATTCTGTTTTTGCGTGTGTGTCGCCTTTCTCCGGCGCCTCTACTTCCCCCCTCCCTTCTCTCCCTCGGGAAGAGCCCTCACGATGCGCGCGACCGCGACGGGGACGGGGGCGGGGGGGGGGGCCGCGGCAGGCCCAGGGAAGGGGCCGCCGCCCACGCCGGCCGACGGGGAT